AATTCGTGAAAATATTCTAAGTTCGAATTCGTGAAAATATTCTAAGTTTGAATTAGGAGTTAGACTTACGCTAGACCCTTAGAGGGATGGAGGTGTCGGAGAGTTTTTAGAAGATGCTTGTTGCTGGCCCTAGGCCTCGACTTCGACTGACTACTCACTGCCTCTGCAGCTCCTGAAGTAGGGTACTGCTCCTGGCGGCAGTGTCGCGCAACTCGTCCGGAGTGGAGGTTGGATTTAGAGTTTCTATGGGGGAAGAGGACTTAGAAACATTTGGGAGTAAGGGACTTAGAAAAATTTAGGAGTAAGAGACTTAGAAAAATTTAGAAGTAAGGGACTTAGAAAAATTTAGGAGTAAGGGACTTAGAAAAATTTAGATGCCGTGTGACGGTGGGCGGAGGAATGGTTGACGGTGAGGTGGTGAAAGGGTTGAGGTGAAGGGTTGCCCTTGTTCGGGGGGGGAGGGTTAAGGTGAAAGGGTTAAGAAAGGGTTAATTTTCTGGAGAGTTGTTTCTTTTCGAAAGTGAAAAATACGGTCCGGGTTTTCACCGGACGTGACACCACCAGACGCTTCCTCGGGCCTCAGCCACCGCCGCCACTGAAGGTCGAAATCATCGAGGGACTATATGCCGAGGTCCCTCACTTCGCCGCGTACGTCTCGCGGCTATATCGGGTCCGCACCGAGACCGGGACGTGGATCCTACGCTTCACTCGGGACGGCCAGCTCAGATCCCGCCATTTTGTCCCTGACTGAGCGACGCTCCTTCCCAAAAACAGGAGGGTGATGTGACGAAACAACCGTCTCGTCACGACGACCCAACCGAACATCCGTCGGGTCGTCTAACAGGCGCAAAGCGCCAAACAAATAACGATACACGCCGCCGCCGAATCGCGACGCCGCCAGATAGTCCCTCGCGTGGGAGAACGCCGTAAGCGCCAAGACTAGGCAGCAACGGGTATAAAAGTGCCGCGCGATAACACACTGATACCATTCCCGAGGCGGCCGTACGCATACCAGTACCGCTGTTCCGAATTCCTTGCCGGCATAAGCCAGCATCCTAGAACACCGCTACAACCAGGAAGGTGCGCTCATCCTCCTGGGGGTATCGCCTCCTACCGAATCCACTCTCTGAGAGGCACGGGAACCAGGGGTGGCGCGCTCACCGCCTCGGTCAAGCGCTCCTGACTTCCGTGCCACTCAGAGACCCGATCGCGAGGAAAGGTGCGCTCATCTGTCTTCAAGGCCAGCACCACTCCGAAAGGCAGTGCAGCGGACGAGGGATATAGAGGTGGCGAGCTCACCGTCTCTACTCCGCGCTCGGGGCTCCCCCGCCGCTGCCGGGTGTATATCAGTTGGACACGGGGCAATTGGACACAGTCCAATCACAAGTCGCTGTTCCAAGGGACCCTACAAATGTCTCTAATCACACGGTGCTGTGATTGGCTGTGTCCAAATACACCGTGTCCAAGTGCACCGCTCCCGGTATTCATAGGCTGATATTCATAGCCCGATCTTATATTTAAGATCACCTTAAGTACTGTCTTAAGATATCATGAACCAATCACAGAGCCGTATTCACATCTTAAGATATTATTTAAGACGGCCTTCAAAATAAGATTCGACTATGAATACCAGCCATAGTCGAATCTTATTTCAAGACCACCTTAAATAATATCTTAAGATGTGAATACGGCTCTGTGATTGGTTCATGATATCTTAAGACAGTATTTATGATAATCTTAAATATAAGATCGGACTATGGCCGGTATTCATATTCGAATCTTATTTCAAGATCATCTTAAGTAAAGGTGCCAATATATGGGAGAGTTCCAGCGTAGAGTGTTAAAGCGTTAGCCAATCAACGTATCAGATCCCAGAAGTATACTTGTAGTTCTTGCGGAAAGTGGCACGTTGATTGGCTACCGCTTTAACGCTCAACGCTCGATGCTTCCATGTAAAGACACCTTAATGTCTTAAGATACAAATACGGCTCTGTGATTGGTTGATGACATCTTAAGACAGTACATAAGATGATCTTAAATATAAGATCGGACTATGAATACCGGCCTATGAATACCGGTCTATGTCCATGGTCGAATTATAGAAGAATAATTGACTGTTAATAATTGATTGGTCAATTTTTTACAGTTTAGGCATAAGTTAACGGATTACGGCCATCATAAAGCAGCCTTTAGAGGTTTTAAAAATGACGTCATGCTTTCCGTCCGTGTTAGGCTGATATTTCACGTGTCGTACGACAAGCTTTTTGGATACGTTCATTGGTTGACGAACAAAGAACCTAGTAATACTCTATTCGCCAACCAATAAACGTATCTGAATAGCTTGTCGTACGACACATTAAATAACACCCTTACGAGTGTAAATGCAATTCTGATACACTTTTCACTCGTGCTCGTGACCAAGTGTAAAAGGTATATCAGAATTGCATTTACACTCGTAACACGAACAGAAATCATAATGGCTTGGTTTACATCGTGCACTTGATACGTATATTAAATAGTAACTTTCTATTAGATAATCTTACAGCATGTTCGACTGGCTCTGGGTTAACCCACTCTGGGTTATTCAGGCTACGTTTATTGGTCGAACAAGTACCTGTAAGC